GGACTTGGTGTAGTTAAAGATACTAGAATTTGATGTGATCTTAGGGATGAATTGGTTATCTGTACATCATGCATTTATTGATTGCTACAGAAAAAAAGTAGTGTTTTAATGTCTAGGATAACCAGAACTTATATATGAAGGTGATCATTTGAACTCTTCATGTCAGATTGTGTCAATCTTAAGTGCCATGCAATCTTTAAAGAAAGGGTGTCTAGGCTACCTCGCCTATGTGAAAGACACTCAAATGAATGTAGGCTCACAATTAGAAGATATTTCAGTTGTTAGGAATTTTTTTGATGTCTTTTCTAAGGACTTGTCTGGCCTACCTCCTAATAGGGAAATTGAATTTGAAATCGATCTTATCCTTGAAATTGGACCAATACCTAAGCTTTCTTATCATATAGCTCAATCTGAGTTACATGAACTAAAAGTACAATTTCAAGACTGTTAGAGAAAAAGTCATTTGTCCTAGTGTGTCATCTTAGGGAGCTACCGTATTGTTTGTTATAAAGAAATATGGGAGTTTGCACTTATGCATTGATTATAGAGAGTTAAATAAAGTGATTGTAAAGAACAAATATCTTTTTCCTCGAATTGATGACTTATTTGATCAGTTACAAGGAGCAAAGGTCTTTTTAAAGATTGATTTACGATCTGGATATCATCAGCTAAAGATTAAGGCAGGTGATGTACCCAAGACTGCTTTTCAAACTAGGTATAGCCATTATAAATCTTTGGTTATGCCTTTTGGATTAACAAATGCACCTGCTGCATTCATGGACTTAATGAATAAAATTTTTAAACAGTATCTAGATCAGTTTGTTGTTTGTATTGATGACATTTTGGTTTATTCTAAAAGTGATAGGGAACATAAAAAACACTTAAGGATTGTATTACAGATCTTACGGGATAAACAACTCTTTCTAAAATTTAGCAAATGTGAATTTTGGTTGACAAGTGTTATTTTTTTTGGCCATGTTATTTCTGAAGATAGGATTTTAGTTGATCCGAAAAAGATTGACGTAGTGGTGAATTGGCCTCGCCCAATAAATATGATAGAAGTAATAAGTTTTATAGGCTTGGCAGGTTATTATAGAAGATTTGTTGAGAGCTTTTCTCAAATTGCTGTGTCATTTACTCGTTTAACTCAAAAGCAAGCAAAATTTGAATGGACTAAAAAATGTGAACAGAGTTTTTAAGAGCTAAAGTAGTGACTGGTGTCAGCACCTGTCCTTACCTTACCTTCTAATAATGGTAGTTTTACCATTTATAGTGATGCTTCCAAGAAAGGGTTAGGTTGTGTGTTAATGCAGAATGATAAGATAATTGCTTATGTTTCTAGACAATTAAAATTTTATGAACAGAATTATCCGACTCATGACTTGGAGTTGGCTACCATTGTGTTTGCTTTGAAAATATGGAAACATTATTTGTATGGAGAGCCTTGTGCAATTTATACAGACCATAAAAGTTTAAAGTATCTATTCACGTAGAAAAAGTTGAACATGAGACAGAAGAGATTGTTGGAACTAATCAAATATTATGATTTAACCATCAATTATCATCCAGGCAAAGCCAATGTAGTTGCTGATGCTCTTAGTAAAAAGCCTATTGGGAGTATAACTGCTTTGACTACTTCGCAATCAAAATTGTTGGAGAAACTTGATGTGCACCAAATCGAAGTGATTATACAGAGAAAAGGTGTTGTTATGGCTAGTTTATTAGTTCAACCAAGTTTGATTGAAAAGATAAAATTGGCACAAAAAGAAGATAGTGAGCTAAACAGAATCAAAGAAGTTGTGTAGAATGGTTTGCGGCTAGAGTTTAAGCTTCACAAGGATGGTACATTATATTTTAGAAATAGATTCTGTGTACCAAATGATCTTGAGCTAAAACGAGAGATCTTGGAGGAAACACATGGGTCTCGATTTACTATACATCTTAGAGGCACTAAGATGTATAAGGATTTAAAAGAAAATTTTTGGTGGAATAACATGAAACGTGAAATAGCTCAGTATGTGTCCCATTGTCTAGTGTGTTAGCAAGTTAAGACTGAACACCAAAGACCATTAGAGATATCAGAATAAAAGTGGGAGCACATCTTTATGGATTTCATGATGAGATTACGTAGGTCATCTAAAGGGAATAATGCAGTGTGTGTAGTTGTTGATAAACTCACTGAATCAGCCTATTTTCTACCTATCAAGTCGTTACTCCACTTGATAAACTAGCACAATTGTACATGGATGAAATTGTCCGATTGCATGGAGTTTCAGTAAGCATTGTGTCAAATAAAGATTCTAGATTTGTCTTTAAGTTTTGGGTAAGCTTGTAACGAGCTATAGGAACAAATTTGAAATTGAATATAGCCTTTCACCTTCAGACGGATAGACAAACGGAGAGAATAAATCAGATTCTGGAATATATGCGTCGAGCATGTGTAATTGATTTAAAAAGTAGTTGGGATGATTACTTACCTTTAGCAGAGTTTGCTTATAATAACAGTTACCAATCCAACATTGGGATGGCTCCTTTTGAAGCCTTGTATGGTAGAAAATGTAGATTCCCTTTATATTGGGATAATGTTGGGGAGAGAAAACTTCTGGGGTCAAAAATAGTGCAATTGACTATAGAAAAGATCAAGGTGATTAAGGAGAGACTTAAAGCAGCATAAGATCGTCAAAAGAATTGGGCAGATAAAAAGAAAAAGGAGTTAGAATTTCAACAAGGAGATTATATCTTTTTAAAAGTGTCACCCACAAAAGGTGTTATGCAATTTGGGAAGCGAGAAAAGTTAAGCCCATGTTATATAGGATCATTTGAAATTCTCGATAAGGTGGGAGAAGTTACATATAGGATAGCCTTACCACCTCAGCTATTTGGTGTGCACAATATTTTTTCATGTGTCCATGTTAAGAAAATATGTCTCTAACCCAAGCCATGTGGTAGAATATGAACCTTTAGAAGTTTAAGAAGATTTAACATACTTGGAATATCCTATTCAATAATTGATCAGAAAGAGCAAGTCTTGAGGCACAGAACTATTCCATTTATAAAAGTTCAATGGAACAATTATACACCAAGAGAAGCAACTAGGGAAATGGAAGATGATATAAAGAAACGACATCCTCAGTTATTAAAAAATGAAGGTAAATCAAGTTTCGAGGATGAAACTTTTTATAAGTTGGGGAGAATGTAATACCCATAAAAAAAGGACTATTTTAAGTATTTTTATAAGTGGTATCAGAACCAGCTTTGAGAGTACTAACGATGTGCCACCGAGGACGATGGGCCCTCGTTGGAGTGGAAGAGGATGTCACAGACCTAAAGATGAGTCATGAATGCCATATTAGTTGTGTACTAGAGTTAGCCATGGGATATAAGGGTTCGTATATTTCTTTCCTTGTGAGGTGCCTTTCATGGGACAAAACTGTGAGGCCAGAGAGACTGGAGCGAACAATACCTCATAAGGGTATAAACCATGGTAGGTAGGCTAATCTAAGACACCAAATGAGTGGATATTCGAGTCCTGGAGCTGCGCAGGCATAGAAATTGAGTCTTGAACCGTGACAAGTATTTGTAGAGACCTGCACCCAACCTACAAGGTATTATCCGCTTTGACCCGAAAGTCTTATGGTTTTATCCCACAAAAGGTTCCTCACAAGTTTTGAGTTTAGATCTCTACATATATATCATTCTTTATCCACACATTCTTCCGATGTGAGATTGAGAGTATTACATGGGGTCTAAGGTTTATAAAATCTGTCAAAATGAACATAAATAAATTTAAAATGCAAGCTAAAAAGAAAAGTTGTTAATCGTTAAGGAAATTCAAAAGATAATTTATAAACATAAACAATTAACATTAAGAACATTTAAAATATAATCCAGAAGCATAAGCAATCAATTTTAAGACAATTTAAAAGACTTTTTTAGTGCTGACAATTGCAAATATACGCTAAACAGCTCTCATTTGGAAATTAGGAGAGAAAAATAAGTCATCTAAAGATTTTTAAAGTCAATAACCCAACTCCAAGTATTTTATTAAGATTTAATCAACTTCATGGAAATAAAGTAATTATTCATCCAATAAGAACAGAAAAATTAACGTAATTCAACTTTATAAATTCAAGATTATATATCGAAGAGGATGACGCGACAATATTTCACTATAATAAGAAAAGATGAAAATTACAAGGAATAATCACTTAACAATTTTTTATACAAAATAGAAGTAAGAATATGAAAGAGGTAATATATGTTAAGATTTGAATGAGACATATTAAATATTACATAATTATATGCACTAACTGAATTAAATTTTAAATTTTATCACTCAACAATTTCACCTAACTAGACATTCCTCTAAAATTCATCAGAGTTGATTGGCACATTCTTTCATTCACGCATTCCACATTTTCCATAACGGCTAGTGGTGGTTTATGGCAAGCGTTCTCCTCCTGAAATTTAATAATACAATGCTATTTTATAAAAAAGACAGATAATAATGTTTTTATGAAAAATGTCAACACTTTCATGATGATTTTCCAATAACTTCAAGTTTAATCTGTTTAGAAAGCGTCAACATTTGCATTTTTTTCCATACGTATAAACGGCATATTTGAACTAAGTAAATTTTGTTTGGTTGTATATGAACTTAGAATTTTACGACTTTTCTCTTCCGTCAGACAATAGCAAAGCTAAAATCTCGACGACAGGAAAAGTTAGGTTGTTTAGCTACTATGTTTGGGCCCCGGTGGCTTTCCAAGCACACAAGGTTCCATCTAAAAACCCCAGAAAACAAAACCAATTGTGTCACCAAAATATGAAAGCAGATTTGACAATTAAATTTTCAAACTTATTAACGAATAAATCTCAACTTTTAAAGTAAATACATAAAAATTTAATTTTTTAAAAAATTTTATTTATTAATGAGATAATATTATTTAATTCACTGATAATATATAAATTAGTGCATCAAATATAAACCTTATAAATAGATGGGCCGGGGAAAGAAAAAAATCACTGAGAAACTATCATTTTCTTGTCCAACAAAAATTGGGTCTCAAAGCATCAGTTCTTCAATCAGCAGTGTAGCCACTGTGTTATGGTGTGCCGGTTTGTTGCTTGTAGGATTGTTTCCAACCGCTATTACTGGAATCACAGTCAAGGGACATGAGAGAGATCGCGAAGCACTGCTTGCCATAAAGTCATAAATTAATCATAATCCACTTGGAGTCACAAGCTCATGGAACGACTCTGTAGCCTTGTGCCAGTGAAAAGGAAAAACTTGTGAACGTAGGCATCAGAGGATCACCAAGTTGGACTTAAGCCAGCAACGGTTGGGAGGTACCTTATCTCCCTATGTAGGGAACCTCAGCTTCCTAAGGTTCATCAACCTTCAGGACAACAATTTCTATGGTGTCATCCCCACTGAAATTGGTCGACTTTCGGGGCTTGAAAGTTTAATTTTAAAAAACAATTCCTTTGGAGGAACAATTCCAGTCAATTTGACCCATTGTTCTAACCTCATTCAGTTTATTGCCAGCCGGAACAACCATGTTGGGAATATCCCAGCTGAGCTTGGCAATTTGTTGAAGCTCGAGAAACTGCACATTGGTTACAACAATCAAACAGGACAACTGCCGACTTCTCTTGGGAACGTTTCCACTCTTCAAGAAATCTTCTTAACTGTGAACAACTTGCAGGGTGGATTGCTTGATGCGCCGCTAGGCCTTCTAAAGAGGTTAGTCTTGCTTCAGCTAGATATTAACAATTTCTCTGGCTTGATTCCTCCTTCATTTTATAACATCTCATCTCTTGAAGTCTTAACTCTAGGAGGCAATCAACTCCATAGAAGCCTCCCACTTAACTCAGGCACAAATTTGCCAAACCTATAAGAATTTGTTATATCAGCTGATACTCTTAGTGGGAATCTACCAGAGTCATTATCCAATGCTTCAAAGTTGGAAAGATCTGATGTTTCAGTGAATCATTTCAGTGGCAAAGTCTCCATTAATTTTCAAAACGTCAAGAATCTTTCTTGGCTAAATATGACCTGATTCCCTTGGTAAGCTTAAAAACCTGCACTTGATAGCCTTCGATGGAAATGCTTTAACTGGGAGAATCCCTACCTCTGTAGGAAATCTTTCACTGCTAAACGTGATTGGTTTAGAAGATAACCTCTTAGAGGGTAGCATACCTGCTGGGTTTGAAAAATGTCAAAATTTGATGATGATGACATTAAACTCCAATAGGCTAACAGGTCCGGTTCCCAAAGAGATATGTAACATAGAAACACTCTTAGTTTACCTAGATCTGTCCAATAACCTTCTAACAGGCTCCTTTCCTTTAGAAGTAGGGAACTTGAAAACTTTGGTACAACTAGATATATCAGGAAACAAGTTCTCTGGTCAGATTCCTCCTACTCTAAGTAGTTGTACAAGCTTGGAGACTCTTTTTTTGGGGAAAAATCAGTTTTATAGAAGTATCCCAGCCTCTTTGAGCTCCTTGAGAAGCATTGCTGAGCTGGATCTGTCAAACAACAATTTGTCTGGTCAAATTCCAGTGTATGTTGGGAAATTATCCTTCTTGAAATGCTTGAATCTCTCTCACAATCACTTTGAAGGACAAGTGCCAACGAAAGGAGTTTTCAGTAATGCAACAGCAATTGCACTAACTGGTAATGATAGGCTTTGTGGGGGAATTGCTGAATTGCATCTGCCAATATGCCACTTTAACGAGCCCAAGAAACAAAAAGGAACTGTTCCACTCAAACTAATCTTGATTGTTTGTGGGGTTCTTGGAATTCTTTTCCTATCATCACTCATTTTCTGTTGGTTGAGGAACAGAGGAGTAACAAAAGCAGAGCCTTCATCGGCTTCCGCTTGGGAAATTCAATTTTGATGGTTTCTTTTCAGGAACTCCTCAAAGCTACTGATGGATTCGCTTCAGCCAACTTAATTGGCGAAGGATGCTTTGGCCGCGTGTACCGAGGAATTTTAGATCAAAACCAGCAGCGAAATGTAATTGCGGTGAAGGTGATGAATCTACTAGAACAAGTTGGTTCCAAGAGCTTCCTCAAAGAATGTAAAACATTGAGAAATGTCAGGCGTCGTAATCTTGTCAAGAGAATATCTGCTTGCTCTGGTATTGATTTTCAAGGCAATCCTTTCAAAGCCCTTATCTATGAGTTCATGCCCAATAGAAGTTTAGAAGGATGGTTGCATGCACCAAAAGAAGCAAATGCCATTGAACCTGGAGAACCAAAGATCCTAAACTTTCCTCAAAGACTAAACATTGCAATTGATGTGGCCTCAGCACTTGATTACCTCCATCATCACTGCGAGGTGCCTGTAGTTCATTGTGATTTGAAGCCAAGCAACATTTTGCTTGACCATGACACGGTTGCTCATGTAGGAGACTCTGGACTGGCCAGGTTTTCCCCAAAATCCATCAACAATTCTTGCGGAAATTCTACAAGCTCTCTTGGTCTAAAGGGAACCGTTGGTTATGCTGCACCAAGTATATTAATGTATCTAGTTGTAATAACAACCCTCAGGCAAAAAGGGATGGAAGCTCGATCATTAATGCTCTCCATCTTAAAATGTAATTCTTTCATAATATTTTTTTTGCAGCAAGATCTAATAGGCAATAAATTCCTATGTTTGGCAGAGTATGGCATTGGAACAGAGGCAACAACAAGCGGGGACATGTACAGCTTTGGAATACTCCTGCTGGAAATGTTCACAGGTAAGAGACCCACCGATGACATGTTCAAAGATGATCTAACACTTCACCATTCCACAAAGATGGCATTGTCTGATCAAGTACTTGAAGTTGTGGATCCATTACTTCTAGCTGGGGATAACGAAGAAGAGAATGCAAATTGCGGTAGAAACCCCAGGAGAACACGCATGCAAGAAACCAGAAAGATAGAGTGCCTGATTTCCATCTTGGGTGTTGGAATTGCTTGCTCCGTTGAATCACCCAAAGGTCAGATGGACAGTGTCGATGCAGCCACGCAACTGCGTTCTATCGGGGACAAATTTCTAGGGACCAGGATCCGGACACATAGAGAAGCACGTGTTTAGAATAGAGTTTGGTTGTTTTTTGTTGTTCTAGCCAAAAACATTACTACTTGTTTTTCTCAGTAAAACTTCCTGAATTCTAATAAAAGTAAAATTTTTCTAAACCAAAGACACAATTAAAATTATTATTATACTCAAAATCAAGGCGCAACGAAGATTAAAGCGAACGCAACTATTTGATTTTATTTGTTCAAATCAAATAAAATCACACTGCCACCAAATGCATTAAATCATAGTCTAAAGAAGCAGTTCAATTCTCAATGAAGATGAGTACTAGCAAATCAGCGCTATCATAAAAAAAAATATACAGGGAAAAATTTTCATGTTTGAGCTATGGCAAGGATTATAATGTTTACTTCTATATTTATTATTGGAAATCTAATTATAAATAATTATTTTTAAAAACCTAAAACACTTAACTATTAATAAATATATTTATTTTTCAAAATATAAAATTTATATTTAATTCATTGATAATATATCAATTTTATATATATTAATAATTTATCAAATATAAATCTTTATATGCACGTGTGCTAAAATGAGTCAAAATTAGAAGGTGAAAGTCATTTATTTTCCTTTCTTCCTTTCCTCTCTTTCTTTGGCCGCTATATTCACGCAGCTCTAAAAGTTTTGCCCTATTCAATTCTCAACAAGGGCACAATATATGACCATTTATTATTTTTTCTCATCATTCTTTCATTTTTTTCCCTTGCCTTTCCTTTCTTTCTTAACGCACAACTTCTTTTTTCTATCCTTTCGGACAAACAAATAATTAATTAGGTTTTGGTTGGTAGGAGAAAGAAAATGAAACTTATAATTGGTAAGAGATAGAAAAAATGTTATAGAAAAGAAATTCTAAATGATTAATTATCAATATCTTAAGTAGGGTTGGCAGCTCAATCTGAGTCTGACAGGTTTCAACTCAACTCGATTTGATCTCATGGTCGATTTTTTTTTTTTAAATCGAATTTCGGATCGGGTCATGTATTATTAAAAATAATCGGATTCGAGTTTTAAGTAAATCCAACCTACCGATATTATATTAAAAATTAATTTTTAATTATTTTTTTAATTTTGTATTTATATATAATTATATATTTATATTTAAAAAATAATGTTTTATATTTTAAAAAATAATATTTTATTAATTTCGGATGGAGTAAGGTACGATTTATACAATATTTGATCGGATCGGATTCGAGTATAAAAAAATAAAAAAAATTTTGGGTTGGATTGGTTTCGAGTTTTATGGTTATGAAATCGGATCAAGTTCGGGGTGAACAAAAACCCGTCCCGACCCAATCCATTGCAAATCCTAATCTTAAATCAATCTTAGTCCATCAAACATGTACTGAAGTGACCAAAAAACCATGTTATTGAAAGCCAAATTTATATTAAAAACAGGAAGTTAGAATTAAAAGAAAAAAATAAGAGAAAAGAAAATGTGAGTAGTTGTCATTTGTTATCCACACAAACTAAAATCAATCCTTGCAAAATTAAAATGATTTCATTTCTTATTCATTTCAGTTTCGAGGTGCGCCAGCTGTTTTACCTTTGTGGGAGATTTTGACTCCACCACTGCTGGCGTTGGTCATGGACTCATGGTCATGCACGCAATTTAGCTTGACCAGTACTTGCGAAGAAGAGATTATTAATGATAGTGGAGGACTTGCTGTGCTTAAGTTCTCCTTTGGGTAAGCCTCACGTTTACGTTTTGCACATTTTTGAGGACCCAAAAAATTCAGAAGTTCACACTAACATTAACACTAGTTGAGCAAGCACTGCAAAATTTATCTTATATTTTGATATATCAAATATTAATTATATTTTTTGGAAAAAGAAATCCAAAATCAATGATATAAAATATGCATGAACAGTTTATATTTAATGTACTATCAAATACTACACATTGTCGATGAATTATATAGGATCATTTTTTAAAAAATTACGACCATAATCAAATATCATATCTTTATAATCAACTGAATAATTAATTATTATATAGTAATTAAATTTAATTATTAAATGATCAACTAACAAACTATAATATAACTAAATAATCAAATTTACAAACACTGAGACTTGAATTAAAACCTTAACTTTTAAAGTTTTCTTCTTGCCGTGCCACATAGGATAATTAAGCACATAATTAAGTTGAAATATGGTCAAAATCCTGCTTTTCCTATCGGATTGTCCAGAAAGACATTTTTACATCTGGTGTTGAATTTTCCTGGAAAATGCTCAGGGTGCTAGGATGGGACGACCGATGGGCCAGGAATTCCAAGCAGCTTGACTAAAATTGTTAGTTGGACGTCACTGCCAAGTTTATTGCGCATGTCTCGGGGTCAAAAGGTCACTAGTCTGCTTTTCTTCTTGGTCAGTCAAGTCAACCAAATTCTTTGATTACGAATTTAGGGGGAAAGAACTAAAAAATATAAAAATTATTTTTTATGAAACAAACAAAATCTTAATTAAATTTTGTTTGGTAGGAAAAAGAAAATGAAAGTTATAATTGGTAAGAGAAAGAAAAAATGTTACAAAAAAAATTTAAAATGATTAATTATTAATGTCTTAAGTGAATCTTAGTCTATCAAACATGTAATGAAGCAACCAAAAGACATGTTATTGAAGTGGTAGACAAGTTGCCGAACAAGTCCAAGTCCATTATTCAGTTTCACATTAGCCTGACTTAGGTGAAAGTTTGGTGATTGATAGATTGGAACAAGGTTCCTTAGACTGCTTCACCATCTTCACGTCAATGATCAACAAAATCTACAAATCAATGCTCGGTCAACAAACTTATCTTCCATGGATCTTTTAGATTTTTTGTGAGCGATTGAGATTTTTAAGCTTCACATATTTTTAGTAGATTTATTTATATCAAATTTAATAAATTTATAAAAAAATAATATAATATAATGTAATAATTATGTTATCTTTTATTGGCTTATCCAAAAAAAAAAAAATTATGTTATCTTTGAGATTTTATTCGAGGGAAAATTTTTTAATATAATATAATAGTTAAGTCTCATAATATTTATTTACTTGGTAAATTTATTGAATTAAAACAAAAATTATCTTTCTCTTTTTTTTTTTTACCAAATAAAGTCTTAACTGAGTTTTGATATAAAATTTTAATTAGTAAGACCAATAAATTTATTGCTCTCATTTGAACATTAGGAGAAAGAAAAATAAGTCATCTAAAGATTTTTTTTAAAGTCAATAATCCAACTCCAAGTAGTTTATTAAGATTTAATCGACTTCAAAGAAATATAGTAATTATTCATCCAATAAAAACAAAAGAATTAACATAATTCAACTTTATAAATTCAAGTTTATCGAAGAGGATGACGCAACAATATTTCACTATAATAAGAAAAGATGAAAATTACAAGAATTAATCACTCAATAGTTTTTTATAGAAAATAGATCATAATTTAAGAATATGATAAAAATAGCAAATATTGAGATTTAAATCTTAAATATATTGAATATCATATTTTAAGGTGATTATAACTAACTAAATTAAATTTCAATCTATATAAACGACATATTTGAACTACGTAACTCCTGTTTTGTTGTATATGAACTTAGAATTTTATGTCTTTTCTCTTCCATTAGACAATAATAGCAAAGCCAAAAATCTCGACAACAAGGAAAAGTCAGGTTGTTTGGCAATTTCGTTTGGACCCCAGTGGCTTTCCAAGCACAGAAGGTTCCATGCATCCAAAACCAGAGAACGAAACCAATTATTTCACCTAAATATGAACCAGATTTGACAATTAAATCTTCAAGTCCATTAACAGTACGTAACTTGAAACAATTGGTCCATGAATCATTTCTAAGACCACTTTTAAGCAATTCTCAAGCTCCTACCATCAGTGCTTCCATTCATACCAGTGGCTATTGCAGAAAATATGTTGTAGGTATTCCTGACTATGGCTAAACTCTAACTATCTATAAAGTTTTCCAAGCGAAGAGATAAATTTATAGCACCATTATTCACTCGATCAAACCACAGAATTCAAATAATTAATGACCCATAGTTTTTTTTTCTTATGCAGTTTGACGCAATCAATAACAGCATTCTTTTTCTTGTCAGTTAGATGGGGATTCGAAGCACCCATTTCTCAATCAGCAGGGTGGCCATTCTATAATGGTGCATATGTTTGTTGCTATCCGGTAGTTTTGTAGGAGACTTTGGACTAGCCAGGTTTTCCCCAACATCCATCAACAATTCTTGTGGAAATTCTACAAGCACTCTTGAGCTAAAGGGAACCGTTGGCTATGCTGCACCAGGTAAATTAATATATATACTTCTCATAATAAAAACCCTCAGCCAAAAAGAGTTGCAAGCTTGATTATTAATGCTCTTCATCTTAAAACTGTAATTCTTTCATAATATTTTGTTTGCAGCAACATTTAATAGGCAATAAATTCCTATGTTTGGCAGAGTATGGCATTGGAACAGAGACAACAACAAGCGGTGACATGTACAGCTTTGGCATACTCCTGCTGGAAATGTTCACAAGGAAGAGACCCACCGATAACATGTTCAAAGATGGTCTAACACTTCATCATTTCGCAAAGATGGCATTGCCCGATCAAGTACTTGAAGTTGTGGATCCATTACTTCTCGCTGGGGATAACGAAGAAGAGAATGCAAATAGCAGTAGAAACCCCAGGAAAAAACACTTGCAAGAAACCAAAATGAAAGATTGCCTGATTTCCATCTTGGGAGCTGGAATTGCTTGTTCCGTTGAATCGCCCAAAGATCGCATGGACAGTTGCGATGCAGCCAAGGAATTGCTTTCTATCAGGGACAAATTTCTAGGGACCGGAATCCGGACACAAAGGGAAGCACGTATTTAGAATGGAGTTTTGGTCGTATTTATTCTTCTAGCTAAAAACCATTACCGCTTGTTTTTCTCGGTAGAACTTACTGAATTCTAATAATTTAGAAAGTTTTGTCATCAAAACTTGCAATCAGATTGAGAAATTCGAAAACTACGGTAAAATTTTTCTAAATCAAACACAATAATATGAGACACAAAATCAAAGCACAACGAATATTAAAGC